CCCCCCGCGTCCCGCCTTTCCCGCCTCCACCCGAGGAGAAGCGGCCTGGGTTTTAGCCTTGCGGCGCAGCTCGGCGCGTCCCTGCCCTCTCTCCCGGCCTGTAATCCGGGTGGGTGAATGAGGGCGACGGATAACGTGCTGCGCGAGGGCTGCTGCTCAAACGATGAGGAAGTTACGGATGATTCGTTAGAGCTCGTGTAGTATCACTTGGGCTTCAGTGGCGTATTACGTTTTTAATTGTTCCAGTCACCAAGCTTCATTGGGTTGAAATTAATGCTGTTCCGTTTGGCTGAATTGCCTTCTCCCTCTGGTGGAGACGTGATCGCACGGTGAGGGATGTGCCATCACCTCCCTAGATCCCGCTTGGAAAGTGCGTTTTTGTGCCCTCTTCGAGTAGGTTTGTCAATGCATGGTGAATGTCTGCCCCCCTACCCACACCCCAGCACATAACGTGTAACTGTTTAATCCAGGCAGGAAAATCGCATATACACTAAAATCCTGCTCACCTTATTCATGTAACTAGTTATGTGGGTAGAACTGAGACTATTTCCATGAGTGAGTCAAAAAAAGATTGCACATGAAATAATACTCTTTAAAGATGCCCTAGAAATCATTAAGTCCCTCAACATGCTTTGTATTTGTCTCTTCGTTTCCCTGTAGTTTAACTGGTCACTTAACCCGTTTCCTGCCGCTGCCTAGTTCCAGTTCTGTTCCTGTTACGTAGGCTCCCATTCCCCGCCTAGTGCTTCATTCTCGTAAACACGTTCAAAAGCGTGGCGTGAAATTGTGGCCTGCTGAAACCAGTGACAACGCTTCCCTGTTAACTTCCTCACTGCCCCAATTCTGAAAGGCAATAAAGCCCTAACGGCAGTTTTCAGTAAGCCACGCTGTGCCCCCTTCTTCCCTCCCCAGCTCCCCAAGCAATTCCTTCAAGGCATGAAACGACATCGCTGATGAGATAATAATAATGGAAATCGGTGGCTGCACATCAGGCTGTGATGGCAGGTCCTTGGTCTTTGTGTCCTCCGACTGTCTGGGAGCTTTGTGGGGAGCGGAAGATCTCAGCGCAGCCAAAAGTCACTGTATAGGGAAGAAAAGCTTCCATACGCATGGACGGATGTTCGGCCTTCAGCTAACAAAGCAGCTCCAAAAGGAGATCTGTAGCTTTCGAAAAAGTCCTGGGGAAGCTGTGCAGATTGTTCCTCCTCTGTGAGTGAAAGAACAAAACTGGATTTTCAGAAGGTCTTGGCGCTTTTCAAAGCACGGTGGTCCCGGCGAGCCCTTTCCTCTCTCTGCTGCCTCCCCCCAAGCTGTCATCCCACCTCGCCTTTGAAAAGTTTCCATGAAGCTGAAAAAAGGGTACCTCAGTTTTCAAACCCTACAGCTTGTTGTAGTATCAAACCTGAAAGGTATTACTGAATTCTAGGTTTATTAGGATTTTTTCTCAGATGCTTGGAGGCCCAGAGTTATTACAGCTATTGGACATGGTTCAAGCTCCAGCTTTGTAATTACATTTGGTCTGCCTAAAATTTCCCACAGTTGCAAGGGGAAATGGTATTGTTTTTCACGGCCTACTTCAGACTGTCTGGCAGGACTCCCACGTGCTGTTCAATAGTTAACATGTTCCTCTGCAGAGGTGTCAATGCTGCAATATAAAGTGAAGCTGCTCTTGCCTGTCATTTAAGAAAACTTAAATTTGTATCCTGTTAGGATTGCAGGTTTAAAAATTCAAGTGCCAGGAAAGCAAAACACTTAGAGTTTTCAGAGGAAATGAACTCCCACAAGAAACATACAACTTAATTTTGCTGTCAGATGTTCCCACAGACTTCTCTTGAAAGTCAATTGAAGTTGTACCTATACACCTAAAATCAGTTAGCCCTATAAAAGTTAAATTTATATTTAGATCACCACCATCTAGTCATTCCAAACAGTTCATGCAGGAAGTTTTAAAGTTATAATGAGAACCTTTATTTTGGCATGTATTGATATTCGAGTGTTTATTATCGTAGCTATACTGTTGCATTGATTTTATAATGAATTTCTAGTTTTAAGAAAAATAATGAACCAAGATTTGAAATTCTCACATCTATAATCATCAAGTCTAAGCAGTTTAAGTCTTACACTATTAGACGAGCTGACAAGGAAATACCGCGCTGCATAGCCAAGTTCAGTACTTCCACGTGCAGAGAAGTTGTATACGTTAGACCACCTGTTGTTGATTTCTAACAGCTAGAACATGTGAACACAGACTTTCTAAGTTAAGCCTGTACAAAGGCTGTTGTAACAGTGCAAACAGGACTAACGAAGAAAGTGGAATGGATTTAATGGCTTTGTAAGTTATGTGCTTTGGTAAGAGTAGCCATCTAGTTGCTAGAAGTCTCTTTTTTTTCCTGGACCAATTCTTTCAGTATGGTTTGATCTCCTATCATGTATTACACCACGGGGAGGCATTTGCACTAAATGCACCTTGACTCTGGTAGATCGGTAGAAGTGTGCGCCACGTGGCCTGCCGGTCGCTTTGGCACATGAATTCTGTGCTGTTCCTCAGATCTGTTATCTCTTATCAGCCATAGAGACAAACCTCTACAGTCTCTCTCTCCCCCCTAATGCCAGTTGTTCTGCTAGCAGTATAATCCGTAACCCATGCTACCTTGTGCTACAGCACTCTGGCAACACACTCCCAGCCGGTGGCTGCGTTTCGGGAGCACTGCTGTAGGTGTTTGCCTTACTCGATCATCAGCTATGCCTGATTACCGAGAGGGAAGTACTGACAGAGATGTACTTTTAGGCTTTCCGTTGCTCTGTATCCACAAGGCAGTTGGATCCCAAGAGGAACGTAATCAGAAAGTCAGGCAGTATCAGCGAATTCACCCTAGATAAAGCTTGTTCGTCTGTTGTATTTGAATCTTTCTAGTTTATTGCATCATACAAATGTGGAAATGCTGCAGACTCTAAATATCTGGTATACTAACCTGGCAATGTTTCAGTCATTCATTTTGCTTTCCTCCCTCTGCATTTGTTTCGTTCTTGTCGTCTATTTCCCATCACCTTCTACCCCAGTTCAGCGCAAACTTCTCCCTCATCTCCTCTTATTTCTCTCTTCCCTGTCCCCTTTCTCCATCCATCAAGCGGCCCTGTGCAGAACTACACCAGTTGCAGGGGGCGTACGGACGGGGTTGCCCAAGCAGCTCTCGCAGCAGCTCAATGCCTTGGGCTGACGAGGACCTGCAGAGAAACATGGGGCCACGGCACATAACTGGTGATTCCCTTCCTCGGTGGAGGAGCAAAACCAGGCAAGACCCCTCTGCAGTAATGTGAAGGGGATACGTTACAGAAGTCAGGAGCTTTGAGCTCTCCTCAGCTCACTCGTGCACTAATTAGCAGAGCTGCATTTGTGAGAGGAGCTGTAAGGGTCTGTGTCTCATTATATCCATTGGATTTGTAATGTTCCTCTCCTATGC